TGTTGAAAGTACCTAGAACAGGATCAGCCTGTCCTTACCTAAGTCGAGTGACCTCCCAAACTTGACGGTGCTTTCCATTCTGCTGCTAAACCTTCTCGAAGTCCCAACTGAAAGTGAGGCCCCAGCCTCTCCAGTCAGCCCTTCCCACTGCCCCACCCAGCTCAGCAATTAGCGCCCCAGCCACACAGAAGAACTTGGAGCGGTATTTTGTTTTTTCGAAACATGTTATTTTACCTCCATGCCAAGCCTTTGCTTAAACTGGCCTGCCTTCCTCCTTCATATCCTCTTCAAACTGCCAGTCCCCTGGCACTCCCCTAGAACGTCCACAGGGTTGGTACCTCCCTCCTGTCTGCTTCCACCTCACAGGTCTGTGCATCCGTCAAACCCTCTGGCACTAGAGATGTGCGTGGCTCTGCTCTCCTACCTGACAGAGAGCCTGAAGAGCATAGAAGAGTCTACTTCTTCCTTGCACCTGCAGCATCATAGCCTTAGCACCCAGCTCCGAGAAGGATCCACAACTGTGAGTTTCCTGGTTTAAAAGGGAAAACTCTAACCTCAGCTCCAGAAAAGCAGGGCATCTCCCTAGCATGCCCTAACAGTTTTCCCATCACTCTAGAAGGCCCAGAACATCTAAAACACACAGCTGGCAGGGCTGAGGACCAACCACGGGTTCTCCAGGGTTCCTCAGGTCAGGGAAGGTTGCAACAGTGTCTGTGGTTCCCCAACGTTTGCAACAATGTCCTCATTCAGTTAGGCCTGGGCCTCTGCCGGCTTACCAAATATGACCACAGCTGCTGGGAGGAGGGCAGAGCTCAGAGTGGAAGTTAGGCTACGGAGACAGGGAAGAACATTCACCAGGAGGGCTCTGGGATGCCCTATGAAGATAACCTTGGCAAGGAGTTTGCTGTCCCCTACATTGAGGCACTAGTAACAACTCACTTCAAGCACAGCCTCCTGTTTCTTATGCAGAACAATACCTCTATTTAACTGCAAATATGAATAAAACAAGTACCATTTACCAAGCACCTCCTCTACGTCTGGCAGCAAGCTAGGCAATTCCCATCTGCACTTTAATTCTTTGGAATACGCATAATTATCCCCCCTTTTTTTTTCCAGATAAGGAAATGGAGGCTAAGAGAGATCAATGACTTTGCCAAAGTCATGCACCTAATACATGATTTCAGCAGGCGCTTAACTCTGAGCTGACTTCACTCCAAAGCCTATGATTTTTTTCTCTGTATGATGCTCTCTCTCCCCTACTCCACTAAGATCAAGAAATTATGTAGAGGGCTCAGGCCAGCCCCACGCTCAGAGAGTTCAGTTCTCAGTGAGAGGCAGTGGGTATCAGTGGGTGTCTCTGCCTGTCTGCTTGAACTGGGAGATTGATCTTTTCTTGTCACCAGGTGGGAACTGACATTATCTGCCTTCCTGAGTCTCCATCTTGCAGATGACAGATCGTGGGACTTGTAAGCCTCCATAATCATCACGTGAGCCAGTTCTTTCCATTAAATCTCATTACATGTACACACACACACACACACACACACACACACACACACTTACTCTGAAGAACCCTGACTAATACAATCCAAAGGGAAAGATTTCTGTGCTAAAGCCAAAGCAAAGGGAGGGAGAGTCCCCTGGAAAGGGTCAGGGAACACTGTTTCAGAGGGTAAAACAAACTTCTCAATCTGATTACATGTTCTTTGGGGGTGACCTCTGTAAAAGAGAGAATCTCACAAAGAGGTGGTTTGACCAGGGTATCCCTGGCCTCAGAGAATGGGTGCTCCTCGGCACCCAACACAAGATTTTCCTAAAACAGACCTGGCCAAAGAATGGTGCCCACCCAAAACACAATGCTGAATCATTCCTCCGCTCTCTAAGTGTTTGTTATATTCCTCCTCAAGACCATTCAGTGGTTCCTCATTCCATTTTATTCCAGAATAAAACCCAATTCCTTGGAAAGGCACACAGGGCCTCCATGATTCAGTGCCCACCTGCCTTCTCTGGCCGTATCTACTATTTGCCCTCATGCTTCCTATATGCCAATCCCAGTGCTACTCACCACATTGCCCAAACGTGCCATGTACATCCACCTAGGCCGTTACTTCAACCTGAATGTTCTCCCCCTTGCCAACCTCCCTGCCCCTGCAAAAGCCACATCTTCTTAGGTCAAGGACTGTTCCTTGGGCTTTATGTTAAATTAATTCTTATTGCTGTAAATCTCTTTCTCACACTGGACTATAAACTCCTAATGGACAGAAACTTTCTCATTCGTCTCTATATCCCCTACATAGACATTTACTTGTTTAATAAATGTATGTTGAATTATGTGCCTGCTGTGTAAAAGGCAATGTGCTAGGTGCTGGGAATACAAAACTGAATAAGACAAATTAACAAGCCCTCAGCCCTGATTGGTGTGGCTCAGTGGATTGAGCACTGGCCTGTGAACCAAAAGGTCACTGGTTCAATTCCCCGTCAGGGCACATTTCTGGGTTGTGGGCCAGGTCCCCGACTGGGGGTGGCAACCAAATAAAAATAAATAAATAAACCTTTAAAGACATACCATTTAGTGATTGAGAACAACAGCGCCTCCCCTGATAATAAAGTGCAAGATAGAATGTAACACTGCCACAAAAGATGTACAAAAATTGCTCTAGCATTCAGAAGAGAGGTCTTTGGCTGCAGATGTCAGAGGAGGCTTCTTGGAGGAAGTAGCGTCTGAGCTCAGCCTACAAAGGGATTTCAACTGAGGAAGACCCAGTGTTGAGAAAGTAGAGAACACAGCATGAGTAAACACATGGAGACAGGAAATTCATGATGTGTCTGGTAACTCTTTATCTTTAAACTCCAGGATAAGAAAATTGGGGGTTTTGTTTTTGGGTGGTCAGTGGAAGTCACAGATGTTTTTGAAAAATGGGGAGAGAGAAGGTGAAAGCAAGGTGGTTGAGAGATCGTGGAAAAGGGAGTTGCCTCGTTTTTAATAATACATAACAAGAAGTTCAGAGCTTATACAGTTCCAACCACATGGGCATAAAATACACACCTCTCTGACCCATCAGCACAGCCCCGCAGCCCTCTGAACACTCACTGACAGCCTGGTGTTTTCCCCTTCTTCATGGTTGCAGTGCTGATGGCTTTGCTGAGTCGCAGGGCCCAGGATACGGATGGCCTCATCGGTTTCCTTCCCTGGCCAGCAGGGCCTGCTGTGTCTGTGCTGAAGCAGAGGTTCTCTCTCTGGCAAGACGACAGGCGCCTCCCCTGGGCATTAGAAGAGGTACTGTCACCCCCTCCCCCGCCCCCATCCATCCCTCGCACGATGGGAGTGGAAGCCAAAGACTCCGCCCTCCTCCTCAGGCTCTCCTGGTGCCTTCCCCACCTCCACCCCAAACTCTGCCCCCCTCCTTTTCCTCCTTCAGCCTGGGCTTATGCTCAGGTACTAGATGCTGCCTCTGTTTCCCTTTTGGTCCTGAACTGTCCTTCCCTCCAGAGTTCATTCCTCACATGACCTTTTAACAGAAGCCACCTCAGAAATTCAAGATTCCCCTTGCTATAGGCAGAATGTTTGTATTTCCCCAAATTCATATGCTGAAACCCAACCCAATGCGATGGTTTTACAGGTGAGGCCATTAGGAGGTGATTAGATCATGAGGGTGGAACTTCCATGAATAGGGCTAGTGACCTTATAAAAGAGGCCCCAGAGAGATTCCTCACCTTTGCTGCCATGTGAAGACAGAGCAAAATGATCATCAGCTATGAACTTGGAAGTGGGCCCTCACCAGATACCCGCTAGCACCTTGGTCTGGGTCTTCCCGGCCTTTAAAACTGTGAGAAATAAGTTTCTGTTGTTTCTCAGCCATCCAGTCTGTGGCAGTTTGTTAGAGCAATCCAAATGGACTAAGAGACTCTCCTAGCACTTCCTACCCCAGGAAAGAAAGAAGAGCTGTGTCCTTTTGTTCTACCCTTCTCTGCCAGGGAGTTAGTTAGACCTCAAGCTTTCCATCTCTTTGATAGTTCCAAAGCAAAGTCTGTCACCAGAACATAAGTGACTTCCAAACTGAGGCTGCCCAAAATCAGAACTGCAGACAGAGCCCCAAAGCCTCTCCAAGCCAGACCATCTCCAGTGTGACAGAAAGTGTCCCTTGTCTAGTCATAACAGAAGAAGACCACGAGAAGCTGTGATAGCCTCTGACACCTTAGGTGGCAAGGCCAGTGACAGGCACAGCTTAGCAAAGATGAGTGAGCAGCCTGGCGGAGAGGAGACACTGATGTGCGGGTCAGGAGACCAGGGTTCCTGCTCTGGCTTTGTCATACCCCTTTAGGTGACATTGTGGAGGTCACATTCCCTCTGTAGCCTCAGCATCCTTGACTGTAAACGTCAAAGGGTTTCTGTCTTCCAGTTCTAGCACCCAGGGATGTTCTGAGTCAGTGAGCCAAGCCTCCACGCACACCCCTTCATTTTTCACAATAGCTCAGGTGGACTCAGGGGCAACACTGCCTCCCGCTCCACCCCATTTTCAGAAATAATTAGGGCTGCTCCTGGGATAGAGACAAACAGTCAAGGGGGGAAAACCAGCCGAAGACTCGCCGCTGCAGCTAAAGCCCCCTGGGTCCTTCCTTTGTGAACAGTTTAGGGTGGGTTTTTATTTTTTTAATTTTTAAAATTTGTTTATTGGTTTTAGAGAGAGAGTAGAAAGAAGAGAGAGAGAGAGAGAAATCCATCAATTTGTCACTCCATTATTTATGCATTCATTAATTGCCTGCAGTATGTGTCCTGACCAGAGATTGAACCTACAACCTTGGCATATGGAAATGATGCTCTAGCCCTCTGAGCTATTTGGACAGGGCTATGGTGGCTGCTGCTTCTTCTTCTTCTGTGGTGGCTTTAATATATATTTTTAATTGGAGTGAATTGGTTAATAAAATTGGATAGGTTTCAAGTGTACAGCTCTATGATGCATGATCTGTATTAATCATCACCATATATTTGACCCCCTTTAAAATGTATGGACCACTTCACGAATTTGCATGTCATCCGTGCACAGGGACCATGCTGATCTTTTCTACAGCACTCCAATTTTATCCTCTGTGCTGCTGAAGTGGGGACTATATCTATTCTTTCATGGGATTTTTCACCTTAACTAAGAGAGGAAACCAGAGCAGGAATTTTTACCCCATTTTGCTGGTAACACTGCCACACCTCAGAAAATGTAATTGCTTCATGCCACACAGCTGGAAAGCAGCCGGGTGGATTTAAACCCCCAGGCTAGTTTTTCTTCCCCTATTCCACTCTGCCTCTCTGTCTTTCCCGAGGTGCTTCACAGCTTGGAAAGCAGCTTGCCCTTTGCTCCCTGGATATCAAAGGCCAAAAGTGTTGGATATCCCCAAGCCGCTAGCCTGGGCTGCAGGAAGGCCCAGGCAGCTCACTCCAGGGCCGCTGCCAGCCCGCCGCCCTCTCTCTGGCACTCGTTCCGCTAGCCTTGCACAGCCCCATGCGTATGCAGGGCCAAGCTCTGCCCTTTGCACAAACACACTTGCAGCGTCAGGCCCTCTCAAAGGACATTTTAACTTAGCTCATCCTCTGATTTTAGACCCAAAGGGATGAAAGCCTAGGAGACGCCGTCACAGCCTTGGCCCCCCTTTATCCACAGAAGCAGAGGGAGACCACCCGCCCCTCCTGCCGGCTTATACTGCTGGAAGTGGGTGTGGGGGGCTCTCAGCAGCTCAGCCCAGGAGCAAATATTGCTCTCACAGTGGGGAACCACGGCTCGGGAATGTAAGTGCTCTTGGATACCTCAGTGTTTTTCAGAGATGGTGACTAAGGCACTGGAACCTCCCGACTCGTCTAGTGCTTTGTCCTCTACACCAGACACCTTCTCCACCAGCCTGGGCTCTTTCCTATGAGCGTGGCTCTCACTTCCGGCTCTGACTCCTGCGGTTTTTCCGTGATATCAGAGCCTCTCCCAATGACCCTTGCTGAGGTTGGAAGCTTGGTAGCAAGGTCTCACTCTGCAGGAGGCCATACCCCAGCCACTAAAGCTACAGGACTGGCAGGAGGCCACCGCACTGGAGCACTGTTCTCCCAGAGCTGCCGGCTTCGGCCTCCTCTCCAGCCCCCTCCGCGGCAGGCTCATGATGTCACAGACTGTCCGCCCCAAGCTCGGCTAGTTCTCAAGCAACCAAAGTTCTCCTCCTCTTTTCTTAAGGGAGGCTGCCTGTCAACCACAGATGGGCACAGGCTGTGCCAGCATCTCCATGGTAACCAGGGGCCACAACTTCCTGCCTCGGGAAATGATCCACAGCCAGCGCCTTTGGCAGGGCTGTCTTGCAGACTCCATGAGGGCTGCAGGCCCATCACACTCCCCTGTCATCCCTGAAACTTGGGAACAGCCTAGGGAGGCAGCCCGGCTGGGTCACCCTGGAAGACTTCAGAGGCAGGCGGAGTTCTTTGAGAAAGGTCCTGAACTGGGGCAGAAGGGGAAGGTCCTTTCTGGAGGCTGTCTCCTCCCTCCCACCCGGTGTTGATTGGGGGACAGGTTGTGGGGCTCCAATGTTAAAATCTCCTCAGGGTAATAGGTGAAAGTTGAAAATTTCAGTGCGTTAGTTGGCTTTAGACTTTGCTCTCCCTCGTGGAGGGGAGCGGGGGTGGTGCAGGAGATAGATTGCAGTGGTTGTGCAATAATCCCAGTTCCTTGCCACCCCGCCCCCCACCTCATGAAATGGCCCCTGGGGCAGTCGAACGGCTGGCAGGCTCTCAACTAGGGGGTGGTGTTGATCAATACGCGGTCAAAGGCTCCAGAGTGGACAAAGGCTCTGGAGAGGACAGAGTGGACAGACCTGCTCCCTCTGTGTTCTCCCAAGGGAGGCAGGGGGCTGGCAGGGCACCCTAGGAGCACAGGTGGAGCTGACCTCCCTGCCACATTCTCAAAACTGGGAAGGTCTCTTCAGAGAGGTTCCCTTTTCAGCAGTAAAACAAATCAGAATGCAAAGTGGAGCTGCTCCTGGCTCCTCCCAGCCCTTCTCAGCCTTCGGTGCCCTGCTCTGCTTCCAACAGCAGCACTTGGGCTTGGTGGCAAAGGACTGGAGCGAGCCTGAAATTTGACTGTAAAAATACTGCGCCAGGGGAAGGGTCATAGCCTGCTCGCTAGGGTTTGTTGGGTTTTTTAAAATTATATTTTATTTTTTTAAATTTAATCCTGTCCAACTTCTTTCCCAATCTCTATGGGGAGTTGGGTCTTTGCTCACATTTGTTCTTTGAGCTTTTGTGATCAGAGTCAAGAATACCTGGTAGGGAAGGAACAAGTAGAATGATAGATGGGGAGAAGGATTTGGGTCCACAGGCTGATAGTCTACATAATACAGAGGAAAATGTCTCCAGGTGGTTGCAGAGGTAGTGGGGACAGGAGAATTTTATTTTAACATACTTATTTATTTAGAGAGAGGGGAAGAGAGGGAGAAAGAGAAGGAGAGAAACATCAATTTGTGAGAGATACGTCGATTGGTTGCCTCTCACACACCCCCAGCTGGCGACCTGGCCTGCAACCCAGGCATGTACCCCGACTAGGAATTTAACTATTGACCTTTTGGTTCACAGGCCAGCGCTCAGTCCACTGAGACACACCGGCCAAGGTGGGGTGAGAGATTTTTCAAAGTGATGCCTCTAACTTCTGTGGACTCATGAAAGTGGGATGAGAGAGGAAAGGAATTTTGGTAAATGCTGCTGTAGACTTCACAGTAATCACCACTCTCACTTTGCCAAAGGGCAAACCAGAGATTTGAGCTATTTTGAAATTATTAGTGATTGCTGAAGGTTGTTTCTTAGTCAGTGCTGGGACACCAAACTTTATGGGTCTAGACTCTGTGAGAATTGCAATAATAATCACTCCCATGTTTACTGAATATTTAATATGCACTGAGCACTCCCACATTATCTAATTTAATCCTCACAACCGCCCTGTGGAGTAGGGAACACCATTGTCCTCATTTTATAGGCACAGGACCTGAGTCTTAGGGAGGGACAGGCACCCGTCCAGAGCCACACAGCCAGATGGGCTGTAGCCAGGCTTTGTGAAGTCCAGGTGGCATCTGGGTAGGGTCCCTGCTTGGAGACCAGGCACAGCTACTGCCCCTATAGATTCTCCGGGAAATTGCTAGACCTTGCTGAAGAGGGCTCTCTGCGGGAGCTGCAGACTCTCACTGACCTAATGAAGCACAAAAATCAATGAGGTTTACACAGGCATCTGCAGGGAGGCTGCTCCCTCACTGAGCCGAGCAGCAGGAATGCGTAGGGGGCCAAGTGACCATCTGGGGCAGCTCTTGCCCGCCTGTTTCTGTGACATTTTGTTAAGTCTTGGGGGTAGAGGGGTGGGGAACACAAAGCCCAGGGTGACACTCCACTCCAAGGGGACCCCATTGTTTCATTTGTCTGTCCAGGCCTTTCAGAGCATAGACATTCCCCTTTAGCCCCTGCCATTTGGAGAGATGCTCTTCACGTCTAAGGGACGAGGAGGGGTAGACCGTTGGGCAACATCTGCCCTGCATTTCTCTATGTTCCAGCAAATTTACAGCCATTCAGAAAGAGGGGTCTCAGTGGGAACCTCAGGTTTGGGAGACAGACTTGGCTTCCAACCCTGACTCTACTCTCCTACTGCCTGTACATTTGTGGGAAAGTCACTTTCTAAGCCTTATGCATCTGTGAGGTAGAAAAAAAATAATAGTACGCACTTAACAGGTTTAATACCAACAACATGACTTGGCATTGGGGGATTGCTCAATAAACCATATTCCTATCTCAGGAAATGAGCTGAGGCGAGAGGGGAGTTATGGGTACAGTTCTGACAGTTTGTTTCATTTATTTCACTGTAATTGGTTTGTGGACTTCTTGGCTTTGCTCGCTGGCCTAGCCTGACCCTTTCCTTAGGTGAGGGCTGTTCTGGAACCTGCTTATAGTGCCTGCCTTATCTATTTTCTTTCTTTTTTTTTTTAAAGGAGAATGTCTTATTACTTAATACTACAGTCCGTATGTACACAGCTGAGCTGGTCAGGGAGGGGCTACCAGTTTCCCGGTTTTCTTTTCTTTTTCAATTTTAAATGTATTTATTTATTTTTAGAGGAGAAATGAGAGAGAGGGAGAGAAACATCAACGTGTGGTTGCCTCTCACGGTCCCCCTACTGGGGACCTGGCCCGCAACCCAGGCATGTGCCCTGACTGGGAATCGAACCAGGGACCCTTTCAGTTTCCTAGTTTTCTATGGTGTCTTTAGCCTATGATGTAAAGCACATGGATGTTTCTGGCCACTGTAAGCTGCCCATGGTGCCTGGCCATTGCTGCACACTGGCTGGTCTCTGCCCCTTGCATGGACTCCTTTCCTCACAGGTTGGAAAGGGAGGCAGTCGTGAAATGTCCAGGCAGCTGCAGTGTGAGGCACGTGTCTTCAGGGGACAGGCCTGACTGGTGTTCCCCCCCCCTGCCCGACGGCTCTTTGCTTTGGCCTCACACTGCCCTGGATTTGATGCCTGGATCTGCTATTCACTATGAGAACTTGGGCAAGTGACTTGATTTCATGGAGATAATAAGGATATTACCATTATCATAGGGATATAGGAGTTATACCATTATCATAGGTTTATGTGAGGTTTAAATGCAAAGGTCCTCACCAGGTAGGTGCTCAAAAAATGTTAGTTTCTTTTTCTGTCCCTTTGGGGTACTCTGGAATGCTGAACTGAAGATATTTCCTGAGAAGCTCTCAAGAGTCCAACCTCTTCTTAAAGAGGGATGGCCCCCATGAGCCAGGAGAGACCTTGTTACCACCTGCCTCCCAAACTGCTCTCCCTTGTCTGGGTTGGAGCTGTGCTGGGGGCAGTTCTGAGACAGATAACCCAATACCTTACATTCTTTATCTGTTATCCTCACAATAACCCTATCAGTCAAGTATATCCACAAGAACCCTATTATTAATGAAGAAATAGAGACACATTAAGTACATTGTTCAAGGTCACACACCTAGTAAGCTGTGTGTCTGGGATTTGAACCCAACAGCCTAGGTCCTAGTCTGTGCTCTAGTAGCTCTACCATACCAAGTCTCTACTGCTGTTAAGTGTGTAATC